GGGTTGTATAGCTTGTACCCCTTTTCTCTTGCATCGTAGCCAATAAAGATAAACTTCTCACTTTTATCATCCAATTTGCTCCTTTTTTGATCAGGTACATGAGCATAAGCAATACTCCCAAAAACTTTGAAGTGGGCAATTCCGGGATTTCTTCCGCTCCATGCTTCTTCGGGGGTTTTGTTCCACACACTTCGAGAAGGAGATCGGTTTGACAAATAAACCGCACAATCCACGGCTTCGGCCCAAAATTCTCTTGGAACATTTTTGCTCTTGAGCATGCTTCGAACCATATTAAGTAGAGACCGGTTTTTCCTTTCAACAACTCCATTTTGTTGTGGAGTATATGGAACCGTTAAGGGGCGATGAATACCATTTTCTTCGCGGAAATTTTCAAATTCTTTTGAAGTGAATTCCCCCCCCCCCCCACGATCGGATCTCATGGATTTTATCTTAAACCCGCTTTCATATTCAACATGAGCTTTAAATTTCTTGAAGGCCCCAAAAACGTCGGATTTTTGTTTTAAAAAATAAACCCATGTTTTCCGAGTAAAATCATCAATGAAAAGAGCAAAGTAATTACTATTTCTGAGAGAGCTTGGTTTAATTGGCCCACATATATCCGTGTGTACAAGATCTAATGGTTGTTTTGCTCTTGTAGATGCTTGCTTTGGAAAACTTTTCCTTGGTTGTTTTCCAAATAAACATCCCTCACATAATTGATTAGGTTCATTTATTTTGGGCAAGCCTTTCACCATATTTTTGTCACTCAACAATTTTAAACCCCCAAAATTAAGATGCCCAAACCTCAAATGCCAAAGCCAAGATGCATTTTTAAAACATGCTTTCAAACATTTCGCTCCCCCCTTTTCAATGTTAATTGAAAACATTATATTTCTTGACATTGGTACTTTAGCAACCAAAACTCCATTTTTATCTCTCATCAAAAGGGTATGATTTTTCATATGAATATCATATCCTTTTTCTAAAAGTTGCCCCAAACTTAAAATGTTTGATTTCATGTTGGGCACATAGTAGACATTAGAGATGAAATCATTCTTTCCATTTTTCAACCGGATTGAAACTTTCCCCTTTCCTTTTACCGGAATTTTTGATTCATCCCCAAAATAAATATTTTCACTTACCGATTCATCAAGCTCGACAAACATATCTCTCTTCCCGCACATGTGATTGCTAGCTCCCGTGTCTAAGTACCAAGTCGTTTTGGCATCACTTTCTCCTCCTTTATGGGCCATCAACAGTGTTGAATTTTCTTCTTCTTCTTTGGCAAAATTTGTCCGCTCCTTAACTCCATTTTTTGCCAATCTACAATTGGAAGCATAGTGACGAAATCTTTGACAATAATAGCATTGAACTTGAAAACCCCTCTCTTCCTCGGCCTCTTGTTGGATAGAAATTTTTACTTCTTTCTTCATTGTTGCAGGTCTTGTAGCCACCTCTTCCATAGCTTTGACTTTGACCACGCCCTCTTGAATTTTGGTTTCTACCATCTTGAAAAGTCTCTTTATGCCTTAGGGTGAGCTTGGTTTGAAGAGCTTGCTCCAATGGATCTTCTTTTATCCTCTTCTTGAATTTTTCTTCATGCGCTTGAAGAGATCCCAAGAGTTGATCCACCGTCATAGTTTCTAGATCTTTAGATTCCTCTATTGCCACAACTATGTAATCATATTTTGGATCTAAAGATCGTAGAATTTTTTCAACCACTCGGTTGTCTTTAATTTCTTCTCCATTTCTTCTCATTTGAAAGAATTCTCCAATATCTCCCAAGCTTCTTTACTTGTAGTTGCACACGACACCTTTGTGAACATAGCTTCATCCAAAGCTTGATGAATGATGGAGAGCGCCTTTTGATCTCTCTTTATAATATTTCTAAATGCATTCTTTTGAGTTTGATTTAAAGCGTTGACGCCCGCGGGTTCCTCGAAGCCTTCCTCTATCATGTCCCATACATCTTCCGAACCAAGTATTGCCTTCATTCGAATGCTCCAGTTGTTGGTCCCAGATTTCTGTAGACTAACTCACAACTAGATGGTATTCATCAATAAACAGAGAAGAAGATCTAATAATGATAAGGCAATATTGAGGACAGAGAAATTCTCCTTTCTATTGTATCGAGAAGTATTTTTACAGCATAAGGCTAGGGAATAGAATGATCGACCTTGGTACCTGTACAGAACGCGCATATTTATAGGCGCTGTATAGGTTGCCTAATTAGGGTGCGTAGGAGTTTGGGCCTAGAGCCTTTTTGGGCTTTATTCCCTTACAACCTATTTATTACACTTTATTTAATACCATAAATGGTAAGCTATACTAATAAATAAACAAGGCATAACAGACAAACTTGATTCACAATAAAATAGTTCTAACACCAATTATCATAGTTCTCCTTTTTTTAGTAGAGGAACTTGAAGGGAACCGACCATTTTTAGGTGATGACTGAACGGACTCTGATACCACTGTTGGAAATAAGTGAAGGAAGATTTGGGAAATTGGGAGGCTAAACTAAAATATTATGGAAGAGATATTTGAACAAAGGGGAAGAACTCTTTTTATTGAAACAACTCAATTTGCTTGATTGCTTGATACAAAGTGGTGGTAGGGAGGCTCTATTTATACTAATACAAAAGTGTCTAGACTCTTCTACCTTTAATGAATTCTACACAATTCTACACAATTAATACTAGGAAAATTCTAGAGACCACACTTTCTAGAGAAGTTCTAGAATTCATTCCTTCTACACATCTCTACTATTTGGGCCTTCCCAACAACAACTAAAATAAATATTAATTAGGTCCAAAAACAAGTTTAATTTTCAACAAACCTTAGATCTTGGGAGGTGATTTCAATGTCATAGCTGACCTCCATGAATATAAGGGTAAGAGCACCCCCTGCTTGCTTGATATTGATGAGTTTAAAGATTTCATCTTTAATAACAGTCTGTCTGAGCTAAAATTCCAAGGTAATCCTTACAATTGGATGGGGAATAGGAGGCATTTCAACTTAACTGCAACCTGGTTTTAAAAAAGCTGAACAAATGCGTGTCTGACCATAATTAACCCTCTTCTTCTACAAGAGATTTCTGCCCCTAACAATGGACCCAAAAGTTTTAAATTTCAGCACATGTGGACTAAACATGACTCCTTTTTTAACACTGTCAAAGCCTCCTGGGATATCCCAAGCGATGGCTATGGCATGTGGAAGATCAGCAATAAACTCAAGAGATTAAAAATGGACTTAAAAGGGTGGAATAAGAACATTTTTGGAAATATTTTCATTGAACAGTCTGAGGCTGAAAAGATATTTCAGTTCTGGAAGATAAGATCTTTGATTCCCTCTTAGAAGAAGATCACCTTCTTCTGAGACAAGCTCGGGCTAGATACATACAAGCTTCTTCCTATATTAATACTTATTATAGGCAAAAGGCTAAAATAAAATGGCTTAAGGATGGTGATGCAAACACAAAAATTTTTCACCTATCCCTTAAAGCCAAACATAAAAAACTCACAATTTCTAAAATCAAGCCGGAGGATGGCTCTTGGACTGATACCTATGATGGGATAAGTAATGCTGCTATTTCGTATTTCTCTTCTCTTCTTACTGTTGATGTTGATGATGATAACCACGACCCCTCCCCTTATTTACAAAACATTATGCCTATTATTAGTGATTCTGACAATCAGTTACTTCTAAAGCCTATCACTAAAGATGAGCTTAAAATGCGGTTTTCAGCCTTGATAAACACAGTGCTCCAGGTAGTGATGGTTTCGATGGTTTCTTCTACCATTATGCATATGAGATTATTGAGAATGATTTGTTTAATGGTGTCCAGGAGTTCTTTTGTGGCGTCCCGATCTCTAAGAACATTGGTCACACCCTTATTGTGCTTATTCCCAAAGAACCTAATGCTTTCCAATTTTCTAAATTTAGGCCTATGAGTCTTAGTAATTTTATCGATAAAATCTTCACGAAAATCATCACTATCAGGATAACCCCTCTGTTTTCTAAAATTATCTCTGTCGAACAAATTGCTTTTCAAAAAGGTAAGGAGATTTCGGATAATATTCTTGTTCTTAGGGAACTGGTTAATCGTATCCATAAGAACACTAGGGGTCATAATGTCATTTTTAAGTTTGATATGATGAAAGCATTTGATAGGATTTCTTGGACTTTTACTAGGCTTGTGTAACACCCCGGCCCGTGGGACCCGAGGTAGTTACTCCGGACCAATAGTACTGTCCTCACAAACCGCCACTAGCCTTTTACGCGCACTTTGTCCTCACTCGTGAGTGCCCTGAGAAACTTCCCAGGGGGTCACCCATCCTAAGACTACTCCCGTGCAAGCACGCTTAACTTTGGAGTTCTTGACTAATGAGCTCCCTTAAAAGGAGATGCACCTTGTTGGTATGAGTAGTACTATTAATCCATTTATATTAAATCTCAAGTGTTACAATCACTCCCACTTAGGATCGCAACGTCCTCGTTGCGCCCTTAAACCAATTTCAATCAAATCCCAGAAAACTTTTCCCCTGCTAGGTGTCTGCCCGATATCCAACGGATCAGCACACTGTCGCAGGGTTGCTCTGATACCATTTGTAACACCCCGGCCCGTGGGACCCGAGGTAGTTACTCCGGACCAATAGTACTGTCCTAACAAACCGCCACTAGCCTTTTAGGCACACTTTGTGCTCACTCGTGCGTGCCCTGAGAAACTTCCCAGGGGGTCACCCATCCCAAGACTACTCCCGTGCAAGCACGCTTAATTTTGGAGTTCTTGGTTAATGAGCTCCCTTAAAAGGAGATGCACCTTGTTGGTATGAGTAGTACTATTAATCCATTTATATTAAATCTCAAGTGTTACAGCTTGTGCTAAAGAGTTTCGGTTTTCACCCAATTTTTATTAATCTTATCATGAACAACCTTGAGTCCACTTGGTTTTCTGTTCTCATAAATGATGCTCCTAAAGGATTTTTCAAACCTTCCAGGGGTGTTAAGCAAGGGGACCCTCTTTCCCCCATACTGTTTATTATGGCTGCTGAGATTCTTTCAAGGCAGATAAATACATTGTACCAAACCGGAAAAGGTACACTTTATCACACCTATAGAGGTATGTCTGCTATAAACCACCTTTCCTTTGCTGATGACCTAATTGTCCTCTCTAATGCTGAGAAAAAAAACTCTTGTTGAGCTCAGCAATATCATCTCTGATTATGAAAAGTATTCTGGTGAGCTTATTAATAAAGGTAAAAGCTTTTATCTCATTTCTAAGCATGCTAAAAACCATAATCACTTGATAGTTAACAACATCTTTCAAATAAAAAAGGGTTCCTTCCCTTTCACTTACCTGGGGGCTAATATCTTTACTAGCAGAACCCTAAATTTATATTTTGAACATATCTTAGCCAAGTTTGATAATAAAAAATTAGCGTGCTGGAAGCATAAGCTTCTTTCTGTTGGTGGTAGGATGATTTTAATTAAACATGTGCTTAGTTCTCTTCCCCTGTATCATATGGTTGTTCCCCTCTCCCCAGGAATATCATTTACAAAAGGGAAAACTGTCAATTACGCCCTCCTACTATGTATGGAAAGTCGATTAGGTCCCCTTACTTTAAAAACACCCAATTATATCCTTAAACTCTTAAAAAACGTTCAATTGAGTATATCTAGCAGGCCACCCACCGGTTTCCCAGTTAACTACACGCATGGCAGCCCATGTGGCAGACCACGTGGCCATTTTTCATTTTTCTCTTTATTATCTTGTTCCTTATCTTTCCTTATTCCCTTCTTTCTTCCCATTTTCTCATCCTAATCTGGTTTGTGCGCACGACGCCTCCTGAACCTATCCCCCCTCTTTTGTTTCTATTCTTCCCTCTGTTTCTTCTTTCTTCTTTTCCTTTTTATTGCAATTCTCTTCTTTTTTTTCTTGTACAAAGCCTCAGCTCATTCCTCTTCTTCCCAGAAACAAACTCGCCGGAAATCGGGCTGAGATTAAGGCGATGGCCGCCGTCTCAACCATTGGAGCCAACTGCTACACAGTCACCAACTTCGCCGGAATCTACTAGGCAAAAGAAGAAACGAACAGAGAAGAAGAGAGTCTTTCGAGGACGGTAGATGCTGCCACCTTTTGCAGAAGCCTGGCAGATCTCGTAGCAGTCGGAATTTGTCCATACTCGCAGCCGCCATCATCGACGGTGGTGCCATTGAAACTGATGCTCGGATGTACGACGAGCTCACCATTGTTGGCAGTCTGGCACCTTAATTTATGAAATAGTCAAAGAGGGCATCTTGATTTATGAAAATGAAGGAAGAACAAAAAAGTTGCAGAGGAACGAAAGTTGTTGCAGAGGTGCGCTGGGAACGAAGAGAACGAGAGAGAAATAAGAAAAGAAAAGAGAAAAAGAAATAGAAAAGATGAAAATTGCCACGTGGCCTGCTACACGTGCAGTTTACCGGAAAACTGTTTGGTGACCTATTAGATATACTCAATTGAACGTTTTTTAAGAGTTGGAGGATATAATTGGGTGTTTGTAAAGTAGGGGGACCTAATCAACTTTCCGTACATAGTAGGAGGGCGTAATTGACAGTTTTCCCTTTATAAAATGGAAAGGAAACCTTCCAATTTTCTCCGGGATGAGAATTCTGACCACAATAGGTATACTTCGAGAAGTTGGACAAAGTGTTGCTATTCGGTTAATGAAAACGGAAGGTGAAAATTGATTCGGGTTTTAAGAGTTTTAAGAGTTCTCAGAAACCTTAATTATATTCAAAAAGCTTTTTTTCTAAAACTTCTTTGGAAGGTGAATAATGATTCGGGTTTGTGGGCTTATTGGTACAATTCCCTAAAAAATACTTCCCTTTCTGTTATGCACAATGCCATTAATTCTGTCAATCACATTTTTAACAACAACTGCCGAATGCAGGTTAATCAAGGAAACAACCAGTTCTGGTACACGAACTAGTCTGAATTGGGGCCTCTTTGCACCTATCAGAAAACTGTCCCAGAGGAACCCTGAGCATCTGTAGCGCCATGCCAGGTGGTAATCTGCTTGATACGGTTGCCTCTTACATGCCCAGATATGTGTGTGACAAAATCACATCCTTGCGCATCACCTTCAATACCAGTAAGGATGCTCACATTTGGAAACCGAACCCCAATGGTAAATTCAGTTTTTCTAGCGCCTATGATGTTATTCGGCATAGGCGAAGCTCAAAACCAAACACTGACTGTGTTTGGAATACACGAACACCAAAAAAATCTCTTTTTTTATATGGCGGCTTGAAAATCAAATCTTGCCTTTTGAAAACAAACTAAACCAAATTGGTATTCTGGGCCCTTTTAAATCCCCCATCTACCCTCATCAGGATACCATTGATCATTATTTTCTAAATTGTCCCTTCAGTAGAGAGATTTGGAATCACTTTCAAAATATTTTCAAATTCAGGCCGTCAAACCATACTACTATTTGGAACTACATTTTAGGGTGGTACAATAACTTCAAAGAGCCAATTGTGGATTTGAATTTCACAGTCCCTAATATTATCCTCTGGAAGGTCCGGAACAAAGTTATTTTTGATGATAAAAAGTCTTGCCTAACTGAGGCCATTAATGCTATTAAAACTGAAATTTTTGCCATGTCGGTTTCCAATCCGTTCCCCCGTACCTGCCCTAATATCCCGATCAACATATGTACGGTAACCCCAAGGAAAAAAAAACCTCCTAGTCTTAACGGCTGGCAAAAACCACCACCCACCTACTTCAAAATTAACATGCCCTCTCGGAACCTCAAACCAAACTTCATCCGTACGGCTGCCCTCATTCGTAATGAATATGGCAACTACGTTAAGCATGAAACCCATCTGGCATCCCACGAGAATGGCACATCTGCCACTTACGAGGCCTTGATTGATCTTATCCCTATTGTCAAGACTCTAAATACCAATAATATTATAATAGAGGTAGATAACAGGGAAGTCTACGAGGGGCTCACAGGTATCTCAATCCAACATTGGAGTTGCTGGCCACACATCCAAAATATCAAGAAGAGACCCATGACACACAAATGGTCTATCACGCACATACACCCGAGTATAAATAGGGCTTCTGAGTATTTAGCTTACCAAAATACTTCGGTAAAAACCAATGATCATCATTTTAATCATTTTGTTGGTATTCTCAAATTTGATGCTACCAATTTTCCTTGTGTTATTTAAATTCGAGTAGGCTTTGGTTTGGTCCTCCTACTCTTTGTATTCTCTTTTTATTATAATAAATAGGTGGAGTGTTCCCTGGCCCCCACCCCAAAAGACCTGCGGGCTATTGGAAACTTATTGGGTATAAAAAAAGGTCTGAATGCTTGTGCTCTATTAGCAATATACTCCTTAACAGTCCCAGATACATATACTCCGCACATTAACTATTTAGTTTAGTTATTTAAGCATTTAACATTATTATTTATGTTAACGGTCCCTCTAAGGCTCTTATGCCTCTAATCTCTTATTAGAGGCCTAGATGATCGGAATTGAGTGCTCTGATCGTGACCCTTGAAATGAATGAACTTTTTCTGGCTAATTATCTTGCTGATTCAAGATCATAATTATTGATTGTAGTGAATATGTTGTTTTGTTTTATTTACTAAAATTTTCAGCTTGGTGTGTATTTATGTTTTAAACTCAACTTATGAGATTTGAAATGATGGTAAACATGTTTATTTCTTGTAATTTCAAACGTTGAATGTTTTTTGGCACAAATTTTAATGGTGATTTGTAAGATTTTTTTTAAAAAAAATAGAAACCGTTAAATGAGAAGAATCGAACCGTTAAAAATGGCTCGGTTCCATATCAGTTCTATAAAAAAAATATAAGAACCGAACCGTTATTAAGATTTGATATTTTTCAAACGGTTCCATCAATTTTGCTTAGCAACCGAATCGGTCCTAGGTCTAGGGGTTTACTGTCTACAGTAAAAAACACAAAAAAAAAAAAGGAAATATTGGTTAGTTTTGTTCCCAATAAAATTTGACGGTGGCGCCAAATTCAAAAGGGTGTACAAACCAAATTGATAGATCAATTGTCTTTCCTCCACTTGTTTAAAAAGCATTTGTTCTATCTCCTTGACAGCTCATACAATCCTTTTTTTTGGTGATGCTCATACAATCCTTTTAAAAAGCGGTTGATGTGCTCTCTTATCTCTACTCAACTCATTCTTCTTCTTAATTGAATTCTTTGTTTGGTTTATACTTCATAGCTTTATCATTAAAAAAAACAAACGCACTCTACATTACCTACACAACATCACTCCTCAAATGGTCAAAAGCTTGTAAGGACTGTTAAGAAAATAGAGTATTGAAGTAGTTCTTATTGATAACATGGATAAGATGTAATAAATTACTTTTTAAGATATATATTTCAATAAAGTTACTAATATGTCATTTCTAATATCTCACTCTCACTGATGTTGCTATTTCTCTCTCTAGGGTGGGTTTCCACCGCTAGGGGTTTTTCCTCCGCTATCATTTGTAACGAGGAGAGGCCGCCGCAGGCGAGCTTAGGCGTACAAGGTTTCTTCTTCCACCATCAATTGTGTGGCTATTTTTCTTCTTTTGCTTTAGTGAGATTAAACGGGGGGAGAGGATGTTTGGTCTCCGACGATCGAAGGTTGTGCAGGGACGAAAGACGGATGCTTGGTCTCCGGCGGCCAAAGGTCACAGACGAAGCGTGGGGCTAGAGCTTGGAACGGATCTGGATTCGAGGTCATCTGTGTTAGGTGGTGAAAGAGGATGCTTGGTAGAGAACATGATGAATAAGAGGCAAGACGAGGAAGAAGCTACTATACTGTTGGATTGTCCTCCTCCTGTATTGTCGCCATGGAGTGCAGGAGAGTCTAGGGTTTGGAAGCAGCTTTTTAATTTTACTGTTTGCTTGCGATTTAGTTTTCATGATCAGACTGTTTATTTTTTTGTTGGTTACTTTTATTGTTGTAAGACTCTTGCATTAGGATTGAGTGATGGAAGGTCTGTTTTAACCGTTGTTGGCTCATTTATGCCCATTATAAAATCAGTGAGTTATATTGCTTTTTAAAAGGTGGTTGACTCTAAGTCTGGTTCGAGAGCTGGCGGTTGTCTGTGGCCCTTTTGTCATTTTATTGCCTATCTGAATGCTAACGTTGTGATATCAATTTAAGTCCCCTTAGTCTAAAAAAAATATCTCAATCTCACTAACCGCCATTGTTAGTGATCCTGCCAGTACCAGCATCGATGCCACCGCCAATGACACCACACAACTAGCACTTTCGCAATTTCACCGGTAACTTATATAGGATACTGCCGGTAACAGTTACTATCAGTGGCGTATCCAGGAATTTCCGTCAGCAGGATGAACTCACATTGATTATTCCACGCATCTCATAAACAATGATCACTTTAAGAAAAAAATAGTGTAAAATCGATTATAAATAATAAATTATTCGTGGAAAAAATATTACAATAACATAATTAAAATGACATGGCAGATAACATTTAACTTTGCTAAAAATATTAATCACACATTTTATAATTTTTTCAAAATTATGATAAGAATAAAAATCAAAATAAGAAATGAATCAAATATGTATTAAGAATTAATTTAATTCTTTCCTACAAGAATTAATTTAATTAAGTTGATAATTCACAAGTATATTAAAACCAGTACTCCGTGTAAATTAGGTGTAGCAATGTACTCCCTCCATCTTGTAGAGAGGTTCTCACAGGATTTATGATATCTGACTGACCATAAAGTAAGTTGATTCTTGTTCCTAATTACATTCTTTTAGCAAAAAAAATTACATATTCAGAGAATAAATTAAAAGCTTTATAAAGTCTCATAAAAAATTCAAATTTGATAAAAGTTGTATATACGTAGTATAAAGTAAGAGATTAAGAAAACCTTAAATTAACCGGAGTATTTGGACGAAAGTGTAAAAGTACTCCCGGTGCTCTAATTTACTTCTAGAAGCAGTTTTTTTAGAAGTTGGGGAAGAACAGTTTCTAAAAACTGATTCTGCTTCTATTTTAAAAAAGAAGCAAAAGCAGAATCAGTTTCAAACACCCCCTTCATTTATTATAAGACAAAGCATCCACATACAAGGCGGAGCTAGGGCACTTGACCGAAACTCAGGCGGTACAAAAAATATTTGTGGGGAAAAAATTATACGGAGTTTTTTACATCAAAATTATAGACATTTTCTAAATTTAGCGTGGGTCGGGCAGGGCCTAGGTTGCCCCCCTAGCTACGCTTATGTCCACATACCCCTACAAAGTTTATAATATGTTTTTAAAAGGAAATAGCGTATATTAATAAAGAAATAACCAAACAACCAACAATATTCAAAGGTAGATTCTATGGTACCATACCTTTGTACACGTGGACCACTCATAATATTGCAGTTGAATTATTTAAGTCTAAATTAAAAATGATATACCTATTTGAACCAATCAAATGGATGATAGGTACGGTACCTCATTTTAAAAATGGGTACCAGAGTTTCTCACCATATTCAAAACCATTGACTTCCCTCTGCCCCTCGATGACCAAAACTAGAGCCATCAAAATGGGCCGAAACCCGCGGGCTGGCCCGTTTAAACTCATTTATTGGTGGGTTAGGATTGAGAATTTCTGACCCATTTAGTTCGCGGGTTTCGCGGGTCCACCCACGCGGGTTGCGGGTTTAAGTGGGTTGACCCACCGGGTTGCAGGTTGGCCCGCGGGCGAAAATACAAAAATATAATTTTAACTTTTATTATCTTAAATATTGTTCTTTTACTACCAATATTATTATAATTACAATTAAAAAATTACAACTATGGCAAACAATATTTACTTCAATAATAAATATTCAAATAAAATGTTGAAAAGTATATTTTATGTGAAGTTCGATACAGTATTTAACAATTAGTAGTCATTATTTACAAATAATCAGTCATAAGGTTTATGTAGATCTTTATTTTTATACAATGAGTATTTTTGTCGCATATCCTCTTATAGTTTTCAAATTGTCGTATAACTAGTATTTAATATTTTTCAATTAAACTTAACAAGTATTGGATTTTTATTATTTTGCTTTCTTATATTTCCTTTGTTACTACTTACTAATATTATTTTCGGGTAATTATTATTTTAAAAAATAAATATATATTTTCGGGTAATTATTATTTTAAAAAAATTGTTATATATTTTTTTAGGTTGGCCTGCGGGCCAACCCGTTTAAACCACGGGCTAGGTGGGTTGGGTTAGGGTTGTAGATATTCTGGCCCATCATTAAGCGGGTTGGCCCGACCCAACCCACATAAACCATAACCCGTTACGGGCCGGGTCGGGTTGACCCGTTTGACAGCTCTAACCAAAACTCATCAACCCTCGCATGCCTTGATTAGAGATAGAATAGTTCATCCAAAAAGAGATAATCGTTAAACACTTATTGGCTGCCAACACAGATTTATCAACCGAAAAGAAACAAACCACAACTCCACAAGGGCAGTAGCACACCTCTTAGGGATGACACTGCTCGTCAGTTGGAGGTCGCCAGCGGAATGTGCGAATAGATCTCCAACTCTCCTGGCGAACAGAGAGCTCGACACAGGCCTACCCGTATTCAATCCGGCGACAGGTACTACGTACTTCACAAGGCGGCTGGAGGCAGAAAATGGGGGAAGTCAACGGTGGAATTTACGGGCGGTGAAGATTCCATATCCTAATTTTCAATCGGCAGACATAGATGAGTTCATTTTTTTCTATTGAAAGCAAATCCTATAATTTTAAAATCATTGATAGCATTGTTCGTATTTCTGAAATGAAGAATGGAATTACATTAGTTATGAAGCTAGATCTTACTGGGGCTAATTGGTTGAAGAATTCAATTGTAAAGATCTCTTCGAGTAATAGGCTTCGTACTAGACTAAAGCTGAATAATTGCTTTACCATTTTATACGATGCTAATTTTTTGGAGGGTTTATCTCAATAATTGAAAAGGGATGTGATTCATTGTTTATTCGAGGGACGAAATGGACAAGGGATCAACATTATTCTGGCAGGGGTTAAAAATGAAATTACTTTGATGAATGATTTTTCTTCCAAAGAAATTGGAGATTGAACATGAGTTAAGCAAGGTTATTTTAGATACGACGGGTTCCAATGCTATTTGGATTTTCTGCCTTTTGTTGGGTTCTATCATCACTCCTATGAAACTGATGTTTTCATTTCGGGTGCATGACTACATGCTGATATTTCCATTCCGTTTCCATATCAAAGCTCTGGATCTATCTCATCTTTGTTTTTTCAGGAAGCTAAGACTTGCTCAGTATGGGTTATCTCTCTCCTCTTGAAAATGAGAAAGATAATAGGGATATTCCTTTGCTCAATTACGATGATCAAGTGGGAGCCATATCAATCAAAGTGAAAAAAGATTACGGAGTATGTTTTAGAGAAACACAATGACGATTATGTTATTGGGACTGTCAATGTGAAAACTCATCTCCGGGCTTTCTTCCATTATCAAGATAATGTTATAATCGAGGGTGAGTCTCATTTTGAATGTGATGACGCTTCATATTCTTCGGGTGATGATTCAGATAGAGAACTTCTCAATCGCCCTAGTGATCCTAACTGGAAGACAAGATCTCAACTTAGAAGAAGTGCTCTCATTCAAGAAAAAATGAAGAGTTTGCTAGACTGAGCTTTATGGTTGCAGGGTTTAATCGGGCAACCATGTATTCCAAAAGATTTATGATTTACTGATTTGTGTGAGGCTATTGGGAATTAAAGAAGAAGGTTTTGGATGTATTTGATGAGCTGCTATTTACTTTGGGGTTTGTTTGATAGGTTATTGATAAAGACGATTTCTCCTTTGGGTGTTCATTGCGAATTTTTAGTCTCATTATATTTTGCATTCATTAACTTTGTTCTTAAATTTTGATTGTTCTTTAGATTCCTTCCTTCATTAGCGTTTGTAACTTTTCATTGAGAATTTTAATAAAAGGCTCTTTTTCCCCAAAAAATTAATTAAATAAATAAAAAGAAACAAACCTCAAAACTACCCCCTTATTGTATGGTAAGGTAAAAATGAAAACAAAATGAAAAATAGTCTAAACTGAATATAGCAAAAATAAATAAAGATCAATTGATGGAGTCCTCTCACTTCCATCACCTCTTGATCAACCTGCCCAATCTTCAGTGGTGTGATAGGTGAGCTACAGTACTGCAGCCCGCCTCCTTCCCATTTTTTAACGTCTACAATTCCACCTCCATATAAATGTGCACTGGTTCTTCCTCGCCTTGATAAGCTCTCCTACGCTTTTGCTCAGTCTTGTCTCCCGCAATGTCTTTCCTTTGCCCCTTTATTAGACCGCCTTAACCTCCAAATCTGACTTGCTAGCTCTGCTCTCATCATCCTTGCCCCTCCTTTTGCCAACTGGAACTAGCCACTTATTCTCACTTACTCGTTCTCTTCCTTTTGTAGCCCTTAGCTCTGGCCCGAAAGCAAGTCCCCCATTCCTCCCATTATCATTAGGATTGTGCGGACAATATCTTTCTGCATGTCCAACAATCTCACACGTAAAAAGGAAACTAGATAGTTTTTCATACCTAAATTTGACAAAAAAATTAACTCCCTCGTCCGTTTGCAGAAAGAGTTTCCTTTTCAGAGGTCTAGCCAAATCAATAATGACTATTATTCTCATAAACGGATTTCATTTGACAAAAAATGTTGTACTCTTCCACTTTAATAAACTTCCACAAAAAAATACCAATTTGAATCGCATTCTTCAATGAGACGTATCCCATGGGTACTTAATGAACATGCAACCAGAAATCAGCCCTATTTAAGGGCACCTCCAAAGGTAGGTCCCCTTACTCTAGTTTGCTCAACACAATATGATTTTGATAAAAAAAAAATCCATGGCCCTTCCTACAAAACCCAGAGCATATCATTTTCACTATAGAACTGAAACATATACCTCCTAACCATTAGTTCACTAATGATAACACCTCTTACAGGTTTCAAAACATTCGCCATTGTATCTCGGAAAATAGAAAAATATACCGACTTTTCATATGTAATTTTCCCTATCATAGACAGACCCACTTCCCCAGAATCTGGAGTCGTGGCATCCACCTGTAGAAACTCATCTTCATCACCATCTCCATTCGTCGATACGCGTTAGCCACCCTCTCGATTTTGCGCTGCTCATGATTAGCCTCCATCGTCTCTATTCAAGCGCACCCTTGCTCATAAAGAAAGCACTCACTGCACCATCCTCATAGCTAACCCAGTTCAGCCCCCATCCCTGCATCGACTGCCCTTACTGCCTTCTTCACAGTTCACACCAAAAAGCTTTCTGGTCCAGAAATTTGTCTTCGCAAAAAGGGGTGTATACACCGCCCAGACTCTCCCTTTTGACCGACTCGAAACACACCGTTCGATACCGATTTTTAAAGTTAACTTATGATTTGGCACACTAAGGAGTTGGAATATTATTCAGAAATTTTGTAGTGTTCAACTCTGCTATAAGATCATGGGTTGAATTAGATTTGCAAACATTATCTGAACATATGTATGTTCGAGCAACTTCCTTGGAATTCAAACTTGTCTTATAGTCGTTGATAGAATCAAGAACAGCGAGGGTTGAAGCAAGAATAGCTCTATCTGTAACACCCCGGCCCCGCATGACCCGAGGTACTTACTCATATACACCCTCCGGACCTCTAGTATTGTCCTCACAAACCGCCACTAGCCTTTTAGGCGCACTTTGTCCTCACTCATGCGCGCCCTGAAAAACTTCCCAGGGGGTCACCTATCCTTAGACTACTCCCGTGCAAGCACACTTAACTTGGAGTTCTTAGCTAATGAGCTCCCTTAAAAGGAGATGCATCTTGTTGGTATGAGTAGTACTATTAATCCATTTATATTAAACCTCAAGTGTTACAATCACCCCCACTTAGGATCGCAACGTCCTCGTTGCGCCCTTCAACCAATGTCAATCAAACCCCAGAATCTTTTCCCCTGCTAAGTGTCTGTCCGATATCCAACGGATCAGCACACTGTCGCAGGGTTTCTCTGATACCATTTGTAACACCCCGGCCCCGCATGACCCGAGGTAGTTACTCATACACACCCTCCGGACCTCTAGTACTGTCCTCACAAACCGCCACTAGCCTTTTACGCGCACTTTGTCCTCACTCATGCGCGCCCTGAAAAACTTCCCAGGGGGTCACCCATCCTAAGACTACTCCCGTGAAAACACACTTAACTTGGAGTTCTTAGCTAATGAGCTTCCTTAAAAGGAGATGCATCTTGTTGGTATGAGTAGTACTATTAATCCATTTATATTAAACCTCAAGTGTTACACTATCTTTCAGTTGGTTTGGTTTTCTTTGATTAAAAACGAAAAACCGTAAACCCATCTGAACACAAAACAACTTGTAATACGCACACACATAAACACACACACATAAACACATACACACACACACAAATATTCTTGTTTGGCCTGAACGAATAGGAGGGTGGTCTGGCCATCTCAATTTGAGGTGTTTACCGGTGGTATTTTTTTCTCAAAGTTTTTTATCATGTTCCCCAAGATCTCCATCAAATTTGAGCAAAATATTCAATCGAGAATGCAGTCAAATGATTTTTGTAACATAACTGCGTTTTATATGTATATTTTGGTGAAATCATTTGACTGTCTTCTCATCGAATATTTTGCTCAAATCTAGTGGAGATCATCTACACTTCATGAGGAACAAGATAAAAAATGTTAAGCAAAAGATATCATCGGGAACCACCTCAAATTGAGGTTTCTGGACAACCCTCCTGTGTGGCCAGGCCGGAAAATAATATTGCTCACACACACACACACACACACACACACAGGGAGCGGTTCCGGTGAGAAAAGAGCTCTAGGAGAGAAATGAGAATAAAATCCAACCATTAAATAAATGAAATCAAAGATCAAGATTGATTGGAATTAGTAGTGCTAGCTTGGTAATTAAGTTGATCTTTGAATGTCAATTGTAATAATAACATAAACGGCCTTCCTATTAAGGACAAAAGAGTAAACTTCCTTCCTATTAATTACGGCAGTTAAAGATGCTTGACTCTACTTTCTAATATTTCAGACCTCTTTCTATTTAAGGCTGATTTACTTGAAATTTCTTAGTTTCACTTCTACAATATTAAATACACTATAAATATTAACTTAAATTAGTTAAATATATGTAGGTGCACTTTTACTAGAATCAATTTGCACTACCGAATTATGAAGGTTGCACAAGGTTTCAATGAAAGAATATATATGAAATTTCTAACATAAACTTGAAATAATGCACATTTTATTTACAATATCTGCAATAATATATGCATTTTTTATGTTTTAATGATATATTAAATGTGTAGAACCAAATGAATATTGTTCATTATATTGAAAAGTATAGCAACTAAAATAAGAGTTTTTACAGATGCACTTTTATTCAAAATTTGTGCAACATTAATTACATTAATGGTTCACCCATATTCTATTTTCCAAATTACAAATACCTCATGGTTCAAATCATTATTTTATTGTTTCAAAAAAATCATTCTTTTTTTATTTATGATTCAATTAATTTGTACATTCTATGAAACTAATAAATTATGTGTCCCTTTTGCGTCATTTTATTTTCCAAGATTAATATATTTTTTGTCAAAATTGCATACTTGAAATACTCTAAGTGCAATGTAAGTCTACTTCAAATTCATTTACATTATTTTGTTTCTAAAAGTGCACATTAGATTATTCGTGTTGGCCATAAAACATAAAATTGTCATTGCAATTACATTTAGATCATGATCATGGGCGGATCCATGTAGGGGCAAGGGTGGGCTTTAGCCCAGCCCAGCCTAACATATTTTTATTAGTATAGAAAGAGACTTAATTTCCAGCCCGTCCCAAAACTGATATTCAGCCCAGCCCAAACTTAATAGAAAGTTTTCTAAGAAGCTCTAAAAGAGCTAACGTGGTGCGTAACCATGGGCTTGCGGCAACTCAACTCAAAGAGTAATTTATTTATAGGGCAATTAGGAGGGTTAACCATCCTTGCAGGCGGTGTGGGAAAAAAAATGAGAAGAGGAAAACTTTACATACGGAATTACGGAGGAGTATTACATTGAGAGTCTACTATGCAATCCCATCTCACCCACTCACCCACACAATCAATCAATGATAGCACTTTATATTACAAGTTTACAACATTATTTTACAACATGATTTTATGATTAATATTATATTATTATATTATTGTTACTATTATATTAATACTATTATTATTATTATTACTTCTATTATTATCATGAGTTTTTTCTAATATATTACTAACATCAAATATTGATATTTTTTTACCCAAGTCACTATGAGTAACTTTTATAAGCATTCTAATTGTAAAATGTAAACATAATTATAATCATTATAATAACTACTTCGCTTTTTATCCAATATCCTTATTTGGTCATATACTATTTTTGTTGTTGTTGCTGTTGCTGTTGTTGTTGTTGTTATTATTACTAGTACTATTATTATTACTATTATTTTTATATTATATTATTATTACGCATTTTCTATCATCTAGTTCATTATGTAGTTCTAATTTTTGCAACAAGCATAGGCATAACTACTATTTGTGATTTTTAGTGTTCTAGAAATATACTTTTGTTTTAAAGCGACTAAAAAGCACAAAGTCGGAAGGACTAAACTCAATAAAACGATGAAGACACAAAATTATGAGCATGGGGCCCAGCCGCATCGTCACCTGCCGTTCTGTCCCCTACGTCCGTTGTCTATATTTGTTTATGCTCGAACTCGAATTGAATAAAAT